ATATATAGAGTTAATGATTTTTCAAATTAAATAAACATAAAATAATTTGATTAAATTATTGACAAATTAATGATAAAACTTAACTAAATACATAATTAGTTAAAATTCGTCGCTAATCTATCGATAAGATTCAAGCATGATCTTTCACACTTACTAACATGTTACTGTGTTAGAATGTCTGACGGTGGTCAAGTTATCCCTCAATTAGATATAAGTAATCAATGCATGTATGTCAATGAACACTAGCAACGAATTTTATTTAAATATGTAATTAGTTAAATTTTATCGTTAATCTGTCGGTAATTTAATCAAATTATTTTCTATTTTTTAATTTGGAAAATCACCAACGGAATTTATTTTATTTTTAATTAAAATAAATTTTATAAATGTAAGTATTGTTTCGCAAATGTAAGTAATTTTTTGGTGTATTTGTTTATTTTTATAGATTTAAGTACTCTTTTGGTTCAAAAAAGTTTAGTGACTTAATCGTTCAAAATATGTAAGTCCATTGACTTTTTTTTCAGACTTTTTTCATTATTTTACCACGTTAATCAGTTGTATAGATCATAATAAGGATGTATCTAACAGGTTTTAGAAAGTCCAATGAGTTATTTAACATGTTTTGAAAAGTCCAAGGACTTATTTGTTCCAAAAAATTATCTAAATACTTAATCATTTCAAACACTAAAGTTCAATGAGTTTTTTTTTAGACTTTTTCCTTATAAATATAAAAATTTATTATTGAATAAGAAATTAATATATAAATATTGAATTTAATAAATATAAAAAAGATAATATAAAAAACAAGAAGATCAATCATAAACTACCTGAAATTCATTCCCTTACATTTATTTGCTTCGAAGGTACGATGGATGGTGACACGTGGCAATGACCGATTACGGTTATCTATACTATATTATACAACATTTGATAAAAACTCTTAAAAAATATTTTTTATGCATAAAGTATTATATATTTATGCATATTACTTAAAATTCAAGATTACAAGTAAATTATGCATAAATACAACTTATTAAAGCTCCATGTTTGAATTCGTGTAACTAACTGCGGATAAAAATAATCAAATAGAGGATAAATATTTTATTTTAAAATATAAAAAATCTAAAATATAATTAAGATAATTATCGAGTTCTAACAAAATAATTAATTATTATCTTTATAAGAAAATTATATTATTAAACTAAATGTAAATTACTTCGATATTGAAACTAAATTAAATTATAATTAAAAAATTAAATTAAAAAGTTACACAAAAAATAAGAAATTTTAAATATTTAATTTGATACTAATATAAATATATTTTTGTCAAATTTTTATGATATTTTCAAATTTATATTTTATTCAAAAATAAAAACATCATCGTTTTTTTTAAATCACGTAAGACCATATTATAACATCGACTGAGATAAAGAATAAAATGAAATATTAAACTGAAGATGTATCTTGCTGCATTATACGAGTGTCTTTCTAGTTATCATTAATACATAATCATGTTTAATTTTTACCCACCTCTATTTTTTTTTTTCACAAAATATGAGTCTAACAACGCTACAAATCATTTTTCCTTACAATTTTTAAAATTTTCTAACATATCCATGTGAAAATGAGGCCATCGTCAAAATAAATGGAGACGTTGTAGCTTGCGGCACCGTAATGACATGCGTCAACGTACAAAAAGCAAGTCAAAATCGGTAGCTTACGGCACCGCAAAGACACGTCACAGTTTGTGCCACCATAAGAAAAAGTGTTTTGTGGTATTAACTTGCGGTTTCTTGACTGTTTTGTGAAAGAAAAAACCTCAAAACCGATTAAAAAGTATAAAAAAAAAACCCGTGTGGTTATTTATGATAATAACTCTTGATTGACTATGGGGGTGTTTGGGATTGCTTATTTGAAACAACTTATGATTTTCTACAAAAGCATTTATCAACTTATCATAAGTCAGAAGGGTTTAACTTCTTCAAAAACTTCTTATTACCGGTTGGCACCGGTATAAGCTGTTTATCCAAACACTCAAAAGTGTTTATTACCGATGTCACACCGGAATAAGTTAATAAGTTATTTTTATAAGCAATCCCAAACACCTCCTATATGGATGTGGATAAAATTTAACAAAGAGTCCGAATTGAATTGAGCAAATGTCATTAAAAATATATTCAAATATTTGGGGTGTTTGGTTCGCATAACGTTTTTGAATAAAATCTGATAGAAATGAAATTGAATCTTAAGAAATTTGACTATAATACGTCTATTTGGTTGCCAAAAATTAGTACAAATTGGTAAGAGAATTGGAATATGTCTGTTTGGTTAATAGAAATGCTACTTTAAAATTTTTAATTAAAAAACTCAATCATGTTTAAATCCGTAGCTCATCTAAGAAAATTACGTGTGTTTGTAACTACATGTATTCTTAAAAATGTTATATCAAAGTTACAGAATTAGAACGACAAATTATGTTTAAGAACTTATAAGCTACTACGTACAAGCGAAGGGTGGAGGACGGGGGAGTTTTACATTGCGTCTCGAGTCTGTTATCACAGACGAAATAAAAGGAAAGTAGGGTGATATAATACAATTTGCGTACACCCTATCCATAGACTCTAGATTCAGACTTAAATTGATGGGTTATTTACCAACATGTTTACTGGATAAGCGTTTAGTAGCAAGAGTTACCCCCTTACTTACCTTATCGGTAACATTTTCAACCATCAAAATTGATTGTAGGTAAGCACCTTTTATCCGGTGAGCGTTGGATAAGAATCTTTTCACTCACTTACCAAACAAGACTCTCGATCCTTATGTCGTGTCTTATCGAGTAAGATTCTTGATCTTATCAAGTTCACACGATAAAGTAAGTGACATACGATAATCATTTATTCGATAAATGTATTCCACACTTAATAGATAATTTATGAAATCAAATTATAAATAGATATAATCATAAAAATAATTACATTATTATTAACTAATTATTCCAAAACCAATATTATTGACATATTTGTAAACATTACCTATACTATATTATAAAGCATTTGACAAAAACTTTTAAAAACCATTTTTATATATGAAGTACTGTTCATTGATGCATATTACTTAGAATTCAAGATTATAAGTAAATTGTGCATAAGTACAACTTATTAAAGCTCTATGTTTGAATTCGTGTAACTAATTGCGGATAAACATAATCAAATAGAGGATATACATCTCATCTTAGAATATAAAAAATCTAAAATATGATTAAGATAATATTGAGTTCTAACAGAATACTTAATTATTATCTTTATTAAAAAAATATTATTAAACCTAAATTAAGTTACTTCATTACGTTAAATTAAAATTATAATAAAAAATTTGAATTACAAAAAATATACAAACAAAAACTTTTAAATAATTAATTTAATATTAATATTGATATTTTCAAGTTTATATTTTATTCAAAAATAAAAACATTGTCGCTTTCTCAAAATCACATAAAAATCGTATTATATCGACATGGATAAAAAATAAAAGGAAACATTAAAATGGAAATGTGTCTCGATGCATTGCACGAATACCCTTATAAACAAATCCATAAAATCCCAACTACCTCACAAAAAATCTAAATGCAATATTTGTAGGATTACATTATTTCAATTTCGGTATTTTCTTTAAGCCAAACACGGGAGGGATTGTAATTGAATCCGACCAAATCACGCAAACCAAACGGGCTTAAAGACGCTCAAAATTACCAACAATCCAACCATGACCATGTGATTGTGAATAGAACAACCAAACCTTGAGGGTCGGTTTTGGTTCAACTGATAAATAGAAGTTCGTCAATTCGACTCTCCTCTAATACTAACGATTTTTCTCGTCGTCATACGTGTAAACCGACTCAAACACCCATCGTTACAAAAAATATCACTGGCATATCGGTTCGATTGCATTAACGACAGTACAATAAAAAGGCTTCTTATATATTTTTCTTTACATTTCTCTTCTTTCTCATCTCTTTTTAAACAAATACATCTACTTATGGTCTGGTTAAAGTTCGGTTTTTTATTTTAATTTTAAGTTTATGAGTCGAAGTCGTACCTTCGGTCCTATTAGCAACGGGTTCCGTCCGTTTTACTGCTTCCTCCACGGATGTCGCCATATTCGTCAATTGAGCTACAACCGCAGCCTCCTCTTTGATCGCTTCCGTTTTTTCTTTATGTTTCACATCTGTTGCAGGTGCAACCATCAGTTTCGCCAATTCCTTTTCCTTTCGTTTCTTTTCTTTTTTCAATCGCTTTCGCTCCAAGTACTCTGGATCGTCTTTATGACTCTTGTGTTCGTCCCGCTTTTTTCGCTTCTTTTCCTTATCTTTCTTTTTCTTGTCCTTCTTGTCTTTACTACCCAAAACGGGTTTTTGTATGGGACCCGCCAATGACCCATCGTCAGCTCCGTTAAGGGCTCGGAGACTGATGAACTTATTATGGTTCACAGGGTCCACATCGTTAGCCTGGACTTTGCTTGAATCAGCGGTACACTGGAGTTCCTTCAAAAGAGAATCACCATCACCCGCTAGTTTAGCACTGCCGATGCTGGCGGTCACGCGTGATCCGAGATCATGGCACGAGTTAACGTCATCGAGGTTTTGATTGCTCACATTTGCAGGCTCGTTAAAATTTCTTTGTGGTGGTGCTTCCATGGACATAGAACTACTCGTCCCGTGATCAGCACCGTTATGGGCACCTTGAGATCGCTCCAGAGGAGCATTTTCAGCTTCCTCCGCTCTACTGGAAGCAGAAGATTGCTTCATTTTGATTTTTAGCATCGGTTTCTTTCGTTCTTGACTATTTGAAACCGTATCCGGTTCTTTAGGAGCTTCTGAAGAATCAAGAATGACCAGGTTTTCACTGGGAATTGTGATAATATCCGGCTGCTTTTCTTCACGGGAGTTGTAGTTTTCTTCTTTTGATGCATCCTTTGGTGCATCAGGTACGACGAAATCCTCTGGCTGGCTTCTTTCGTTATCAACAGTGGAAACGATATTTGGTTCTATGGTTGTTTCGGGGACCGAACCATCATACGGAAGCATAAGTGTATCTGAAGACGGATCCATTGGCTTGGATTGATTAACGATGGCAGCAAAGAAGTTTTTAAGTTCGTTGCAAATTTCTGTATGGCCCTTGATCAACGTTTCATCTCTAGGAACTCCACAAAGTGTTGGTGGTCTGAAATACAAAAGTTGCAATCTGAGAAAAAATACATCATCCGTCCCAAAACAAACGTCCACAATGAAAAAGGCACACTTTTAGAAATGTGTAATTTTTACACTTTTTAATCAAGTAAATGACAATTGTATCCTTAACAATAGAGGGAGTAATAAATTTCTCCATCTCATAATTAAGGGTGGATTTGGAAAGTAGGGACTTGATTTTGGAAGTGGACACTCTTTCTGGAAGGGTGTCTCATACTATGCCTGAATTATCCCGGAAAATTATGAATGCAAGAAATCAACCCTGATAAACTCGGTGCCTACAATTGATGAGTACGACTGGAATCGAACCCAGGGCAGATGGGATGTTCCACCACATCCCTCAGGACCTCAACCACTGCGCCACAACCCTTGTGGTTAGTGAACACATATTTTTGGACGAACTAAAATAGAAATGTTGACACTTATTTTGGGACAAAATTATAATGTTATAGAAAAGGAAGGATGGTGTTAAAACCTTCCAGCCAGGACTTGCAAAATGCAGAACAGATAATGGCGGAGTGTAACGTTGTTGAATGCCGCCGGGCTCTCAAGAAGACGGAGTAATGCCACAAGAGTCTCACGCACCACACCGTGATCATCATCAGATCCACCGCTTACCTGACATAATCGCATAGCATGCACCCCCAGCTTCACTTGCCCTACAGGAATATCACAGAAAATGCATATTAAACAAAAATACAACAAGTGTAGTAGACTTGATCTCAAAGGCTTAAAAATTTGTACTCCATCTCAAAATACATGTTTATAATGAATAACACCCGTTTAGAAATATGCAATTAGTACACTTTTTAATTGACTAAATGATAACTATACCCTTAATAATAGAGGGAGTAATGAATTTCTCCATTCTATATTAAGGGTAAAATTGGAAAGCGGACACTTGTTTTGTAAAAGGAGTATTATTCAGTCCAATACCTCTCAACGAAGGCTCCTCCTCCAAATATCTAACAAACAAAATCAAGGCTGCATCAATTCCTTTGCAGTGATACTCGAGATCGAGCAGTGCACGGAATGCTTCAATTCGAACTTGCCATTGTGTCTTCGAAGAGCAAAAGGGTTTAATCAAATCAATGATACGATCCTGAAACGAAAAGAAACTATGAATAAACGAACAGAAGCTACCCAAACTATTCACTTTGAAACAGTCAGCACAGGTGAAAGAAATAAAGTTACAAGCGGGATGAATTCTGATAGCTTTAATGCAATTTGTGTCAACGCTCGAATGCAGCTAACTGTTAAGATTCCATTGTAGCTCGGTATCAGCCTGGTAAAATGCATCCAATGAAATGGGTTACGTATAAAATTTGACGGGTGAAGCTACTACAACCAAAACAAGAGTAATAATGCACCTGTCAAACTGCAATAACCGGTCAATGCGTTTCACGAGAGATGATAGAAAGGGAACACTCTGCCAGAAGATTGATAACAAATTGCCAATTATTCATAAACAATAAAAGAGAATACAGTAAGAGAAAGCTAAAAAAGCAATTCCCCAAGCAGAAGAATTCAATTATCGAGATATTTTTACAAAACTGATTCAAGAGATGCCAATAAACCTGTTGTCCAAATTCAAGTTCACCAACTGATTGGACTAATGCAGCAAGCCAGTAAACATCAGAGTAGGGATTCCCATTGTTCTCATTGTACTGCACGATGAATAAAAGCATAGAACAGACTCAGGAATGCGAAGAAAGACAAAAACAGTGAAGATATACACGACAAAAGGATAACAAAAGAATCTTGACCAAAGAAGTTCAACCACACCCATAAAGTCTACAAGATTTAGTCTCTGAAATATGAAACAATTAAGCCAACAGCGATCGGCGACGGTAAGAAAGAAAGAACAACCCAAAATATCGCTAGATTAGATTGTTCTCATCATAAAAGTGAATGCAGCCAAGCAAACTCATGCCTTCCGGTATCATTGACAAACACTATTGATGATCAACCAGTGCCATCAGGCTAAAAACATATAGTGAAATGGTAGTATATGTGGAATTGAGGAACAAACATCCACCTTTAAAAGTTGTAAAATGAATTCAACAGCTTCCCTTGGGCTCTTCTTATCTGCAGCTCTAACCAAAGCTACAGCATGCGGTATAGCCTGTGAAAACATCACAATGCACAAAAACTAAATTCAAGAAATATTCTTTTATATCTACTTCTATCTTTTGGTGAATAACTATCAAAATAAAAAAATTATTGTGCTGTTTAAAATGGCAAAAAAATTGCACCAACAAATCGATGCTAAAATCAACATCAAACTTATTCTAATTTACATGTATGACCAGAGAAAGTTGTTTGCGTCTAGTTGATATACATATGGCATCATACACATGCCCAATCAAACAAACAAATTTCATAAAAAGATCAGACAGGTGGTGTGCAACATTTACGAATGCCCACAATCCCCTCCATAAGAAGGGAGATCATGTTCAATAAATCAGTAAGATATTTACATCACACATCCCCTAGACACTCACATTATGACACATATAGGCCAACTCAAGAAACAGAAATAGCCATCCATTATTAATTCAATGTGTTAATAGTATTAGCATAATTATGGAAGTCATGTTGCGTTTTTAAAACTCAGGATGAGGATATTAATCCCAACAGACCCAATAAATATATACAAAATGAAAATTATACTGCATAAATGTCTTAACACTGCCCCACTGGACATTGCTGACAATACACATCCTACCTCATCCCATTACCTCGAGTACAAAATACTCCGCAAAATCATGAAAGTCATTCGGCCTGAGAAAGAAAAGATAATTAATTGAGCATGCTAGGTGCCGTCCATTGTCTATCAAAACAAAGAAAGGATACAACGTTTACTTTGGGAGTCCAATCTTTTCATCATATCTTCGGCTTTTATAGAATTTAATCAGATGCAGTAAACCAGCCCAATCAGTTTCCTAGAAGAGCAAACAAAGTAAATGATGCATCAATTACCAATATGAAGGAAATATAACAATTTTCAGAACCCAGCCCCACAAATACAAAGCATTTAGCTAACATGATGTTTTGGGAGTACAATTAAAAAAGTATTTTGTTCTAATTTATGTGTCGTAAATCCCATTTTCACCCCTTGATATATCTTTCTTTCAGGATATTGGTTAATATATGAAATTTTATGGGATTAGTGGAGCCTTTCTTGTTGCATATGTTCACTAGGTATCTAATAGAAATAGTGGAATAGTTAAGCTATCTAGCTGCAGAGAAATTTGGTCTTAAAAGTGTCCTATTACAAAGATCTCTGGAAAGATGAAGTGATTGAATTCACAAACTGAACCAGAACAAGCAAACACAATAGTTCTATTGATTTCTCAATTTACAAAAAAACATTTGAATATTCCTGATGGTTAGAAGTGTCGCTCATATTTGCAAAAATGTTAGAAGGATATTATACCTCAGATGCTGTGCTAGCCAAAGCAAAAGCCGCCTCAATCCGGACTCGCCAAAAGGCCTTCAAAAGGTAGAAAAGGTCAAAATTGCATTTTGTATAATTAATAAAAGCCATATGTAACCAGGTATTGCATGTGCAAAGTCTCCACATCATACACTAAAATTATATATATACTTGTACATCCCAACAAGAAGAGAGTACCTGAGAATCACAGAGGAGATTACTTAAAGCATTGACAATGGAGAGAAGTCGAGGAAACAGCTCTAGTGCTGTGATTGCTTGAGCTTGAGCAACAACATCTTTATCCTTCTCCAATTGATTTATCTGGTCGTACATTCATATTTTCTCAGAATAGTTAGATAAAGGAAAACACAATACAATAACAGGTCAGCATGTATCAAAACTTCTCCATCTTCATTTTTTTTCCTTCTGGAGGCAATATTTCAACAAACCCGTCATTTTTTTTTGGTAATCTGCAAAAACGCAGATAATTTCTTTTACAGTTCGAGTACATGTCATTACACTGTACTTAGAATTAAAAAATGCATTAGCAAATAACTAATGGTTGCAGAATTATCATTGAAGGTAAAGGACGATCAGATACCAGAACTTACCCACATCGGTACAGGTTGATTGAAATGAATCTCAGCAAGATACTCCATCTCAGGGTCTGCCCTGAGCCATTGCAGGGGGGAATCAATGCTGCAATAAATCATCCATGAATTGAGTACATAGAAAATAACATACACTTAGGGGCCGTTTACCAAAAGCTTACCTGTGTAAGCGCTTACAAGCCACATTACCTTACCGGATAAATATGCCAAGGACCAAGAATCTTACCTGTAAGACCGAAGGCAAGGACCGAGAGTCTTACCAAGTAAGTGAGGGCAACAACTCTTACCACGTTAGCGCTTACCCGGTAAATTGTTACGATACCGTTTTGGTGGACTAAAATCTTACCCGGTAAGCAAGTGATAGTGTCTTGAATTTTGCTGGTAAGCACTTACCCGGGTAAACGTTTGGTAAACGTTCCCTTAGTCAGAACAATGGATGTGCATAATTACATACTTTGAACGCATATCTACAGACGCAACTGTGTCTACATTATCATCAGAACCATCATGCTTTGAACCTTTCTTTGGCTTTTGGAAACGTTTGGCAGCAAGTTTAGAATGGCATTGTATTTCTAGCAGCTGCCATGTTTCTCCTGCCATAGGTAAAACTGGATGGTCATACATTCCATCAAGTTCATGAACTCGTATACTCATCATTCCAGGCCATCCAACATCTGCTTCTCGCTTTACAAAATCAGGTTTAGTATTGGAAACTGAAGAATTTGAATCCGGTGTAGCTGTACATCCGCGCAGTGCTGCTAATTCGACCAAGTTCTTCCGTTTGTTATATGAAAACCCCATCCTTAGTATGATCAAATGCAAAACAGAGGTAATTAGCATAAAGATAGCGGATATTCCAGAACACTGAGAAAAATGTATAAATTTCTTTTACATACTTGAGAACAGGACAACCGCTAGAACCCACCCAACGAGGAAAAAATTCACGAAGAAATGGACGCTCAAGATTTCCAACTTCATTAGCCAAGTGGCGAAACTGCATTTTAAAATTTCGGCTGGAGTTAGTGAGCCTTCAATAATAGACTTACCTCCACTCCTAAAAAATTATTATATACAAGCTGAATTTGTGGAAAAATAGAGCAATACAAGTGCCAAGACTCCTAGATAATGAAATTGACAATAAAAACCAACTCAAAATGATATTTTTCTGAAAATATTATCAACTTTGAAGTAACAAATTACAATCACATCCAAGAATAAAAACAAGTCATGCAGAGACCCAAGTTAGATGCACCGCAAGTTGGAATTTTTTGGTAAAATGCATGCTTAACAGGAAGTTAATAGTGAGCCATCATATGCTACTTGACAAAATGGCAGTGAGAATTCCAATCATAATCCTGCAGTAGATTACATCACAGATACCGAGAATTCCCTGAGAAATATCATGATCAAGTTATGCTCTGACATCATTTCGGGAAGTTGCCTCCTAGTACTTAAATGTGCATGCTAAGAGGATGAGTGCATTTTGAATTCAAGGGAAACGCGCTAATGCATTCAAGTTGGATCTTCCAGACAGCATGGTCATCAATCATGTATCCAATGACATAAATAATCCCCCTTATTTTCAGTTAAATGCCTTTGTTGTCTCACATTCTAGCCTTTCAGAATCACATGACCCTTCCTCTATTTCTGTTTTACTCATGCCGCTTTCGTCAGTGATTCTACTCCATGGTTAGTTATTAAGGTAATAGAGGATATTATGAACGAACAGGTTGTAGCAACCCATGAGATAGCTATCGACATGATTTTGTCAAGTAGAACCAGTGTTCAAAAAAGGCACACCATGGCGCGAAATGGCGCAAGACGCGTCTCCACGCATTACGAAATGGACCATAATGTTTCTGTAGGGCATGGCTCACACCATGGCGTCTTGAGGCGCGCCACGTTTTTTTGTAACACGTGATTTTTTTCCCAAATTTTTTTTCCTATCTTTTGTGTTTTTACACTTTTAACTTTAGATTTTACATTTTCATAGATCTAACTAATCACATCGCCACTGTTTCACAAATTCATAAACGTTACACACTTACGGTTAAACTGTAGTTGTAAAATTACCTTTCTAAGTTCTATTTTAAATATTTAATCAAAAACCTATTTTATAATAATATTCTATATGATTTTTCTTCTTCTAATATGAATGTAAATTTTTTAATATCATTATCTGATTAGATAATATATAGAAAACATATATCTAGCTATATAATTCGATGTATGACATACAAATTTGCCGCCTTATGTCATGCCTTGAAAAACATCGCGTCCTCGCCGTGGCGTGTAAGGCTTGAGGCTCGACCTCGCCGCCACGCCTCACGCCTTTTTGAACCTTGAGTGGAACGGACAACCTGACAGTAATTTCACTCAGGATACTACATAAGAGTTCTAGGAACAGGATCCTGGCCTACTAAAGCGTAATAATTCTTGTGCATTATCCAAGGCGACACTTTCATAAGTGGAAGATGATAGGAATCACAAGCACATTTAGCTAATTCTAGTTTATTATAGATTCGTTTATTTATATTTTCTTGGTTACATTATTTACTCATATCTGGAACACTGTTTTTCATTGTTCCAGTACTATAAATAGGCAAGACTAGTTCTTTTTGCAATTCAGCATATGAAACTGGTTTCAGTTAAATTTTATCCTTTTGCTGAAATGTCAAAGATCTTAGGACTTGGAGTCTAAGATATTCTAGGGCTTATGGGGTGATTCCCAAATCCGCACTTACTTTCCTTCGATTGTTTGTTTTCTTAATATCTTCCTGCATTCACGGATCCGCCATCTTGCTGTTGCCCTTGAGATTCTACTATCATGGACAACAAAGAGATAAGTTTGAGCAACATTTTTCATTTGAGCTATGACTTTGCAACCTCTTTGATCCTATTGGCGGCCAAAGGACCACAGCAGAGCTCATGGCACATGTACCAGAGACGGAGATCTTTCTGTCATAGGTCCACTAGCAGCTTGGACAGCGTCGTAGTCATGACAATGAACATGAAAACTAGTGGCATCTAGACAACAAGAAGGTTGATGGTTCTCCTGTAAAGATTTGTACTTCATTTTGTTTCCTTTTTGAATTATTATAAATGTTAATTTATTTTTTGATAGACAGAAGAAATCTTTTGGGAAATATCAATGTCCCTAACATTTGGGTCCAATTCATAACTTTCTTAAAGCATTGAATCATTGATAACTACATCTGAACTCTTATATATGTTTAAATCATGGTATGCAGTTATGGATCTTGTGGTCTTTAATGGATAATTATTCCAGAAAGTTGTAAAAATCCTTCAAACAAAAAAATGTTTCATAATAAAATCACCCTCATGTTTCATTACTTACACTATTTATCAAAAAGTATCTTGCATAGTATATAAATTGTTTTGAACTATCTCAGGGAAAATAAGATGGCCATTTGAACCAGTGATTATAAACGAGGTTATTGTGCGAGTATGGTGTGCTTGCTGAGCTGTTAAATAAAAAGGATTAGATGCCTTGGAGCAAAAGGGGCTTCCAAACATACATTGATAATTTGAGATATTCTACATATCACAAACATATACTACAGTGTACAGAAAGGGATTCCTCTAACATATAAGAATATTTTGCTCCATGCTGCATATCATACAACTTATGGTAGAATCTATCTAATATCTTGATTTGCAACGAAGTATCCTTGGTGACACGTGATGATTGAGCAACCCAATAGTAACAATTAGCTTGAGAAAGCATTATGATATAGAAACAGCAATGAACTTGGCCTAAATGCTCTTCTTAGATTACCTCAAGTCCACAACAGATATTACAAATTTAGATACATAATCACCATCAAGGTAAAAGAGACATAATATCTCACCTAAATGTATATTAATTCAAAAGCAATCCTCCAAAATGCTCAAAATTAGTATATGTAAATATATAAATATCACACAAGGAACCTAACACTGACAATATTTTCCATTCTCCATTAAAACAACTCGTTTAAAACTAATTTTATCGGGTGATATGATTAACCTAACGTTAATAGTATCCATGGAAGGATCAACTTCAAATCCTTATCACTTGATCAATGACATGTTCTTACAAATCATATCAGACAATCTAGTTTTGATACATATTTTACATGATACTAGTTGTGAACCCGCGCAATGCGGCGGGAGCCATGAATTTTAACGATTTTGRAGTTYCMCTGRTTTTATAAGATAAGATTTAACGATGATATAGGTTACACTTGGTCTTTACATATTAATACAATTTGAATAAATAAGAGTTATGGTTCCAATTACAAACTATTGATGAAAAAAATTGTATGACGGTTTAAAATCCAATACATTTAAAATCCAACATATTTAAACGGCTCCACAAATGTATTCGATTTACACCAAAAGCAAAGAACCAATAAACTTGAGTTTTAAGATAAACACTCAAAACCAATAAAAAAAACTACAAAATTGACAGATCATAAGCCATGAAAAGACCAAAAAAGATGGGTTTTAGAATGAAATTTCAACTGCTTACCCTCTTTCTTGTCCAGAAACTCAGATTAAGGTTGAATTAATACATGTATATATATATATATTTCAAAAAAAACCCAAGAACATATTAATTCAAAACATATTATACAGTGCAATTTGGACAATCTAACCCCAAAATATATAGTATATATATAAATAAATAACTATAAAAGTATAAATCGTAAATATTAAAAATATTTTTTCACAGTATATATAATATATAATAATATAATTAAGTCAAAAACTATTCAATATTGGACTCATTTCGAAGGTATTAACGAGACAATTATAACGGTGTAACTTGTTAAAATAAAAATGTATTTTTTTAAACATGTTTTACTTGATATACGATTATGTATGTTAATTTGATAAAGGTTTAAAATGAAACATTTAAAAGTAAAGGACGTAAAGTAAATTAATTAATTAATTATAGGGGTATAAAGTGTAAATTTAAAATTATAATTTAAAAAAAACTCGGTTGTGAGAGGGTGAGTGTATGTGAGGGGGTGAATGTATGTAAGGAGAAGAGTGGGTGAAAAAGTGAAAAAGTGAGTATAAAGGGTATTTTGGTCATTTATAATTTTAAGACTTTAAGAGTTTTGCTAAATTTGATTAATAAGATAGTATAGATATAGATTACTGAAATTCATGCAAGCGCTTCTAGAAATCTTGCATTACATGCATTGGGTGTAATTCAAATAACTGCCTTATGCAGCATTATACCTCAAGTCCTCAATATAAAAAAACATGTAGCATCCTGCAGACATGTCATAAAATATACAAATGCAAGTGCAGACTATGCATATGTGATCTGGTAAAAACATATAGTGCTGGCAAGTGGCAACATAGTTAAGGAATAGAAGACAATCAATAGCTGTGTATTAAGTAACATGATATACAAACAGTCGGAGATAAACTATGTATTAAGTGACATTATGAAGGTTCTTCCCCCTTTCTATAACAAGTTTTCATGTCGAAGCAATTACTTTCATCAATTAGACAAGAGAGGTAAAGAAGAGAATGATATGGCTGCTAGTTAATTACCTCTTTTGTACTAAGAGTTCTATGAGGACGAGTTGTATCTTTAGGAGGTGCAACCAAATTCTTCAAAACCTGCGGCATGGGATAAATAGCAATTAAGTATGCATGCACGAATAGAAGTTGAGTCTCATAATACTAAAACCATGTGAGCAATAATACACACACAGACAGGTAAAAGATCAAGGGGCTGTCTGGTTGGTTTCTATTAAATCCTGTATAGATAAAGCTGTCGGTGTGAATTAATTTGTCTGTAGAGGTTGGGAAGATTTTTGTTTGAGAGGGCTTTTTCATAAATAGGAGCGTGTTTTTAATTGGGTGTGATAGGTTTGGAAAAAACTTGACTTTCTGCATAAAGCTCCCACCCTAGAAGCTTACTGGATAAGCCACTTTCTATATCATTAAGCCACTACCAAACAGTCATGCATAGCTGACCAAATAAGCTGTTAAGTCCCATTATGCTCATTAAGCTGCTAACAAACAGACCCTAAGAGCCCTGCCCCCTTTTGACAGGAGTTCTAACTTGTAGTGCCCTCATTCTAGTATAGCAAATCTAGAACGGCTCTTGAGAGCTCAAATCCGTAGCTCTGTAAGAACGTAATATGAAATGGATCCACAAGCCATGCATGGAAGATCACCGGTCCTGCCTGATTCTACACGAGTTGGTGAATTGTAGTGCCTTCATTTTAGTATAGCAAATTTGAAACAATCCGTATGAGCTCAATTCACTGCTACAAGAGTATGAGAATGAGAGGTTTTGCATGACAAGCATATGTAAAAATTGCTCTTCCTAGATTTCCATGTTAATTTATGGGAGAGATTGAAAGCTGAAACATCTCTTTACACCTCCTCATAAGGGGGATGAAGGATCCGCCCAGTTTTTATAACAAATAAAGCCTAGAAGAGGTTAGATTAAATAGCAAGCAGGGGAACCTCGGGAAGAGAAGAAAAGTAAAAATTGGCTGAGCATCACAAACAAGTCCATACTTAATATTTAGATAACAATACTCATTAAAATAATGAAAAAAGAAAGTGCTTTCTTCGAATCAAATAATACTACAAAATGAAGGTGAAGCTAGATATCTTACTTTACAGAATGACTCGGGACCCATCTGCTTTTCCAACATTTGGAGAACTGCAACCTGTAAAAAAGAAGCGAGTAGTCAAAAGTAAAATGTTATCAACTTTTTAGACCATGCGAAAACAATATGTACCAGATTCATATAATCAACTTACAGATTTCCACGACCGAATTTTTCCATAAAAACCAATGCATTGTGTTCCATACAAAGCCTTGGAAGCATCGGAGGAGCTCAAGGCAGTTGCAGCACTATCATCTGCTTTGCAGACAGCACAATTTGCCTGCAATCAAGAAACAAAGAGAGCATCCAGTTGACACATTAAGCACCCCATTCAAGACCAATATCGAGAAAATATTTTAGCCAGAGGGCATTGAAGGATAATTTGAGGTATGAAAATAAATATATCCAAAAGAAACAATAATAATGTTTGCAACTTTTACATGATACAGCCATATTCATACTGTTTCCAAGAGTCATGATAAAAGCTTAGAAAAAGAACAAAAAAAATCAAGTTGTAACAAATATAAGTTCCGAATTTAGCCACCATGCTTCATATGTTCCTTCCACTATAGTATATTGAGCATCCTGTTGGAATTAATATTGTATTCAAGTCCCTGTGTTGTAACTGTTTTACTGTATTTTCAGTTAGTCTTCGTAATAGTTGTTTAGAGGTTGTTTGTGTAATCTCTGTATAAATAGGTTGCTTTGTTAGTTAGTTTGGTTAACCCTGTTAGACATTGTATTGAGCTTAGAGAGAGAAAGAAAGCACACACTGTAATTGAGAGAATTGACATCAATAGACAGCCGACTGATTCAATTCATATTCTTGTGTTCTTGATTGTTTGTATGTTAATGACTTGATCTGGAATCTAGGATTGGTACCAGAGCAAATCAGAAAAAGATTGAACGTTTTTGGGATCAATTCAGATCGTGTTTTGAAGGTTCGAACTTTGGTTTCTGTTTCTTGATCAAAAGTGTAATTTTTGTTCAAATTCAGTGTAACTTCGAGCATTAAAGTTGTTTCTGGTTGTAATTCGAACTCTATTCCAAAATTCCAATTCAAAATCTTGAGTTTTGAAGATTTTTGGGATGAACTTCAAAGTTATCGCATAGTACATATTCAAAGTCATCGCATAGTGCATATTGAAAGTCATCGCATCGGCTATATGCGACAAGTCAAAGTTATCGCATTACAAGGACCGACAACCCAGGTTCTCGCATCTAAAAGACCCGAGAAGCTGAAGGTATCACATCTCAAAGACCCGAGAAGTGAGGTTATCGCATCTAAAGGACGCGACAAGTTGAACTTATCGCATCCGTTTAATGCGACAAGTTACTGTTCACTCTATATTTGATGCGACAAAGTTGAATGCAATAAACTGTATGATGCGACAAGGTTTCCAAGTTTGATGCGACAAATCTTTTTGTGTGCGACAAGTTTGACTTGGTCAAAGTTCAGTGCTAAGCCGTAGGAGGGGGACATTGTTCTTGAGACAAGTCAAAGTTGATTTTTATCTGAAGGTTTCCAATTATGTTCAAGATATTTTTCTGAAACGATCAGTTCAAGTCATTTGCATTCAGTAAAGATGTCAAAGGACATGCTAAGCATTGGATTAGAATCTGAGGTATTCGATTATTCAAACTCTGAATTCATTGATGAAATTGAGTCTATAGTGTTTTAAAACAAAAGCTTGAAAGTGAAAGAGCTTTAACCCTAAAATTTCAAACTAAAAGTTATGGTTACAAGGGTTTAAGTGAAGATCTAACACAAGAAAAGGAACAACTTAAATCTGAAAAAGCCGATTTAGAAAAGAAAATTCTTGCATTGAAAAAGAATTTGAATGAAGTAGAAGGTGAGAAAGTTGAAATCCAGTTGAAATTTGATTCTATTTTTAAATAAAGAGGTCAATTGTACGCCAAAGTCAAACAGTCGGAAGAAATCATTTTCAAAAGAGATCAACGTGAGCAAACATTGAAAATTTTAACAAACAAACCCAAAGATACAAGATTCTATAATCCAAGAATCGGTTTAGGTTTCAATGAACTTGATCTTTTGAAAAATGCTCCAATTTCTTTATATGATTTTAATGAATTAGGATCTTCAAAGTTCACAATCCCTTCTATTCCTGAAATTTTTGTTAAATCTGAATCGCCTAACTCTTCTTGAAGTAATAAAAATAAATCAGATGAAGATGTTTCTAAAAGATCAAATTTTCAAAATGTGGGACTAAAATATGACGATTTAAACTCAAACTACAAAACTAGAAAACTTCAGTTTTCTCATTCTGAAATTGAGTCATTCTATCCCACATAAAATTTAAACATGGATTCTTCATCAAAATCTGAGTCACAAAAATAAGAAACTTAAAAGTCTTATGATCTTTTTGAAAACATGATGAATGACTCGGACTCTAAATCTGAGAATGAGGTGATTTACGATTCTGATTCGACTGAAGAGAACATTGAGCAAAAGGATTGGATCATTCATTCAAATCCTGAATTTGATTCAAATGCTAAAATTTCTATTTGAGAGAAACAAATTTCTGAGCTTGAGGCTGAATTAAAATCTGAGAAGAGATTTATAGAAAATGCTCAAAATGAATTTTCACTTAAAGTCGAAGAGCTTAATCAAGAAATTTCTGAACTGACCATGTGTCTAGTTTGCAAAGACAAAATACATGAGTCAAATTTACAAAAGATTCATGATCTCGAAAAGGATTTAAATTCTAGCTTTGATGAACGAACCAAGTTAATGAGTCAAATCACGAAGCTTGAGGAAGACATCAAAAAGCCTTTGAGTTCAGATTGATATCTCAACCAATTCCACTGTTATTGATAAGATCAATTTTGCTGAAAGTACTTTCGAGGTTGGAGAGTCTTCAGGTGTTAAATCTAAAAATGATTTTTAGACTTCTCCTAAACCTGCTAAATCTAGATGTTTGACTGCCAAATCTTCTATTAATTCAAGTTCTTTATCTATGGCAGATTTGAAAACCACTGGTATGGTATTGAGAAAAAAAGATCACTTGCAAGAGAAAAGTGCTAATATTTTCAAAACTAGTTCTTCTGTAAAGAATCCAAATGCTAAGCCTAATGGTTGTAAATGTTCTTCACTTGCTAAAAAGAAATGTACTCTGAATACTGATTTAAAAAATTCAAAACATTTTACTCATTCAGATATATTATCTTTAGCGCCAAAACATTTGCATTGCAACTACTATGGTTACAATTCTTTCGCCATCAGTGCCAAGTGCAAAAAGCAAATCAGATCTAAGAAGACCAAACCTTTATCAACTTCTTCACATAAAACTAAATCTGCATATGGTTCAAATGCTAAAAAGAAGAATTTCTCAAAGAAAGAAGAACCATATTTTATTGATGTGAAATTTGTTTGGAAGTGGGTTCCAAAGCAAATATATGAATGGCGTGTTAAAGATATATCTACTAATTTTTCAATGCCAACCCGAAAGGGCCCGTTATGAAATGGGTACTAAAGTCTACGTGATTGTTTTTGCAGGACTGTTATGTGTGGTACATTGATTTCGCATGCTCAAGACACATAACAGGACACAGACAGACTTCTAGATAAATCAATCTAGAACTCGGATTTCAACGTTTTAACTTCTAAACACTTCAGTTTAGAACATGTACTTCATTTTTACGACTTCTGAACAAGACAGTTCAGGACTTGTGCTACAACTATCAGTTTCTGCACAAGAGAGTGTAGAACCTACATTAATCATTCAGAAAGACAAGCTATTGTTGATGAGTATGACAATTAGAATAATCAAACTGATGTTCAACCTTTACCTCGTACACACAAATGGACAAGAGATCATCCTTTGAACATGTCAAGGGGAGTCTCAGAAAAAGTTTTAAGAGCTTGTTGGTTATATTATACTAACCTGTTTGTGTGAGACTATAAACTAAATTCAAAGGGGAGCATCACAAACATTATTCATTCTGATTAGAATCTCACACGTATACATTTCTGAACTTTATCTCAATATATTTAGAAGGAGGACAACTTATGAGTATATTCAAATGTTTTTCTTAAAATGTTCAAACCACTTCTGTAATCTCAAAAAGATTTTATGATTCTAAAAAGTGTGATTTTAAATTATTTTCATTTGAATTTTTGTATGAAACGAGTACTATCTTGATCAGGTGTATTCTACGGTTAATACTTGTGTATTTTCTCTTCATGCATAATTCAAACACCTGATTCAGGTTTCCTTCATATTGTTATTATCATATTTATAAAAATTGCAAAATTCATTTTTCGATGATAATACGCTCGTTTGTATTCAAATTTGTTGATTTCTAATAAGACTTTAGTTGATTCTTCATTGTCAAATATTTCGTAATTCTTTGAAAGACAAATTTGTATTTTGTTCGTACAGATATTTGTTCATTTCTTTCAGAATATTTGAGCTTCAAACCATTTCTTGATTTTTTTTCAAAATCATGTGCTTATCTGAAATAAATCTTTGATCAAATCTGTTCAATATCAAAGTTGCATCAAAGTTTGTGGGCTTATTTGCTTATATCAAAGTTACTTCAATATGCTTACTTGAAATATCTTAGGTGGGAATGAGAGCTTATACAGATATAACCTCTATAGACAATCAAAACTGATAGCCCTACCCAAGAGGACAACCACCATAACAAGAGGTGAGCTAAAATGGAAAATGGGTATGTGTGCTAAGCTTAAAATGAAAACGAGAGGGGTAGTAGTTGTGAGCTAAAAGAATTGAATGAGAGATGTGTACAGGATTAAAAGAATATCAAAATCCTGATCTAGCTATTATAATCCGGGCAAACAACACATACACAATCTATTGGTTCTCAATTATTCGGAGACTAATATTGAAAAAGGCAAAGCCCAGGCCAACTCTTGTTTAATACCCCACCAACTACTCAGTTATCTCTCAAAAGATAATTGTTTCAATAACACTTGGGGCACGCAGCCCATAATCTATCGATTTCTCATTCGGAGGATATTGGTATTGAAGAAAGAATGATATATCTACCCCTTCAAATTTCTTTGATCACATCGAGTCTGATAAATTTGTGTAGTCCACACTACTTTACCAATTTGAGCTTATTTTGAAGCATTTGTTGCTTTATCTTTCTACACTGCACAAATTTTACAGAATATTTGTTATTCTGTCATCACATTCAGAGATATGCTTCTTTAAGCTATCAATAATTGAATGCAAATCCTGGTAAGATGAACATCAAAAAGTCTAATATTTAAAGTGCATCAGTTGTACAAAA